GGACATTTGTTAAGCACTGCGGTGTGTAATACAAATTACGTTGGTCAAAGCTCAATGTAATATTTCAAATCGACTTAAGATTCTTTATAATTCCCTCTAGAATTAATCATTGCATTATTAACTGCTTTACATTAGTTCCACGAGTATAATAAAATTTGCGTTAAGTTAATCGTATTTAAGGTTTGACAGTCAACCCACTGAGAGTCAGCCAGCGAGCCAGTCACACAGACTGACAGCCAGAACCAAACAACCTGCCAGCCAGTCAGATAACCTGCCAACCAGTAAGACCAAGACAGCCTGCCTGCCAGGAAGAGCCAGCCAGAAAGCCTGGTAGCCCACCAGTCAGCCTTCCAGGCAGCCAAAGCCATAGAGACTGCCAGTCCCCTAGAGCCAGAGTGCCTGCCAGCTAGCCACATCCAGGCAGCGAGCAAGAGTCAAATAACTTAAAATTTCACAATGCTACTTGTTACCAGTTTTGAAAGTTTTTCTACTCTCGTAGCCCGGCCTGGAGCCAGGCTTTTCTGTTGATTGCCTCTTCAACTAGGCTGTTGCTGTTGGCCGTCCGCTGGCCTATATAGCCATTACAGCCTAGCTGACTAGCTACACCTGTTCCCGTAAATTTAAAAAATAATAGTATATGCATAATAAAAATGTTGACATTTTCTATATTTGCGACAAGGCAATGTAGGCTAGATTATTATACTTAAAAATAAGTCCCATACGCCCGTAACTTGATAATACTATTGTTCAAGTATTCGTAAATTTTTCACTTTAATCAGTTATGTCTCTACTCGATGATAAATATGGACAAATATTGATCTAGTTACACCATGCTTGCAAATTATATTTGCCGGCTTATAACGTAATGTTGTGCACATATTAATTTATGTTAATTTGTTATCTCTTAATGGCTTCTGGGATCATCGCCCCCGCGGCCTGGTTTCAATCCTGTTTACTTTTAAATAATACCATATGCATAATAATAACTACCAGCTTTTAAATAATGTTTACATTATGTCAAAAGAGCACACAACATTAAGCAGAATCATTATCACAATCCATTTTGAAGTGTAATGCCTGTGATTACTTATATAAAATTGAATTAGTTACTGTAACCGACGGAAAGAAAAAAACAGGTTGCGAAGCAAGCTCTTATTGAGACGTTTCGCATTTTTAATTTATCAACTCATACAGGAGAGAGAAAATACACTAACATGCACACAATCCTAGGAGAGGTAGCTGGTGAGATTCCTGCAGATGTGAGGTGAGCGAACTCACTGATGTGTGATGAATTATAACAAATGAACACCTGCGCTAATTTTCATTTTTCAAACACACATAAGCTATGAATAAATAGCATGACTGTAGTAGCACAAGTATTCTTATTTGCAGAAGTACCTGAAAGAGTTTTTAAATCATACATACAGCCTACAATGATTTATTATCAATGTAAATATACTATGTATATATGGCGGGGGGAGGAGGTGCCTTCATACTGGTAACGGGCTATTTGATTCAAGAATCTGGAGCTACTCTCCCCTTCCTTGCATCAAGTGATTACCCATTCCCCAAGTACTGTACTACTCCGATGGGTTTAGCACATTCCTATGAATATAACAATGTATGACGTACAATTTTGATATTGGTGGCAACACAATACTCTACTTGTAGCAATTAATAACAATAATAAATGTATAATAAGAGGCTTATAAAATTATAAATATCGAAGTTGTTTGTGCATAAATGCTGATATATTTTGTGAAGCGCTAATGGGACGAAGTTGTAACATTACATATGAATCTGAAGTAATGTTACTTTTATCGTTATTGTAGAATGTTGACACAATTGTACAGTGAAATGGGAAGCATTCATGTTCGATACAAGAAAGAAAAGATGACCACAGAATGTACATAGATGAACATATATATGCATGCATACTTGCAGGAAAGTGACCACAGTTTTACTCCGTTGAGATTACCATCATCATTAGAAAAAAGAGGGACTACCAATTATTTTGTAGTTTTAAAGAAAAAACTATTTGTTTCAGTCGTCGGATAGATTCAGTTAAAGTCCCTGCTTAATCTAACAAACAAATTAGGGGATTCTACGAAAAAAGAAATCTTTTGAAATGTAAGTGGTTATTAGCAATTCACTACCAATGTCGCACGAATACTTTAGAAGACAATATGTTAATCTAGCATCCAATGATGTTATCTTTAATTTTTAAAGGGGTGGATGTGTAAGTCTGCCCTAGCCCTTGGTCATATAACCAAAAGCTTCAGTGGCTGGTCATCATAAGACTAAGACCAGCGCTAGGAGACATTTGTCCTGTTTCTTAATGAATATCCCCCTCAAGGAAGGTTCCTTGATGTTGGTGAGGGGCTCTTGATTTAGGGAATTGGATCTGTGCTCCAGTTCCCTAAATTAAGCCTGAATGCCTTCCACATCCCCCCCCAAGCGCTGTATAATCCTCTAGGTTTAGCGCTTCCCCCTTGATTATAATAATAATTAATGAATATTACCTAACCTAACAGCCAGGAGTCGCTATTGACTGGTCCACTACTGAGAAGCAAGAGCCACTCTTCATTGGGTTAGCACTCGCCCAAGAGCTACTATTGGCACCAAAGTCCAAAAGCCAATTGATTTATCCAGCACCAGTCCAAGAGCCAATACTGACTGATCCAACACCGGGAGAAGAGCCAGTATTGATTGCCCCAGCACGGGCCCAAGAGCCACTATTGATTAATCCACAAGAGCAAATACTGATTGGGCTAGCGCTGGGCCAAGAGCCAATACAAACTGTCCGACACCGAGTCAAGGGTTAATATACACTGGTCCAGCACCTGGTCACGGGCCAATACTGACTGGTCCAGTAATGGGCCAAAAGTTAATATTCATTGGTCCACCATTGGGGCCAAGTAATACTGTCCTCATCCCTTTTTCAAAATTTCAATCATCACATTTCAAGAAATTTATTGACATACCCCTGTGAAATATTTTTTTTAATTACGTTTAACACATTTTTGAGTGCAAAAAGTTAATTAACAATCAAACAGTTGATCAAATTAATACTTGAATTTTTGCCTTTTTTTTACCAAGTTGTAAACAAAAAAGGGAATTAATAATTTGGGTTAAACTGAGATTTTCAGTATCGCATAAATTCTTTATGACCGGAAATTTATGGGGGTTTTAATTATTTTGTCTTATTGTATTCTTTAAGTAAAAATTTAAAACATTTTGTCGGTTTTGTTTTACTTTAATGATTAAACTCTCTCGTCTGTAACCTTTTGTAGTGTTGAAGAATCTGTCGGCTTTGTAAAAATTCATTTGTGTTGCAAGTTTTTTGCGGTATTGATCTTTTAAATGAAATGACATTAGCTTTTTGTCAAGTGTCAATTAAGATGGTTTACCCTTTTGTGAAACCCATCAGGTACAGCCCTTTATGCATATCAGCAGATAAAAAAATGATGAGATATTGTCACATAAACGACAAAGGGAAGGAACCCTCACCATTAATCTTGTGGTAGTTCAAAGGTACATTTATTTATGCCCAAACCAAAAAATATTTAGGTTTTCCCTTTATATACAAATTTTATCAGTTGCAAATAATAATAAAATATAGTGAGGTTGAGAGCCCTGAACCTACATTTTTTTTAAATAGAAAAATGGGGGGATAGTTAAAGTATACAATAAGGGGAAAGATTCAAAAGAAGATATGGTATAAATGGGGTGCTAAAAAATTGGGAACAAGGGAAAAGTAAAGTTAAATTCCAGATTAAAAAAACAGTTAAAATTTTGGGTTTCAGTGGACTTGTTGTTGTGAAACAATCGCAAAGTAAAGCTATTGAAGCAACACTTTAGGTAGCTTTAAAAAACAAGTTAAAAAAAATATATACAGTCTGAAAACCACCCACATACCCCTTAAAATACTTGATGCTCCTACATTTTATTTAAGAAAACAAAGACAATGCTCGTTTTGATTTATGTTTAATTACGAAATTTTTAAAAAATTTAAAAAAGTAGGGTGCGGGGAAATGCCAGACAATATCTCATCCCCCTATATTTTTCCCACCAGGCTCGTATTTTGCATTACCTTTTATATAAAACTCATTGTTTTTTGATGGACTATGACGGAAACCCTATCCTGCGTGAGGGAAAAGTTGGGTAAACTAGTTCTGCTCTCATTTGTAAAATGTCCGCAATCAGAAAATAATAAAATTTGGCTTATTTAAATTATAATATATATATATAAATATATATAAATATAATAATATATATATATATAAATAATATAAATATAAAAAATTTATATAAAATTATATTATATATATATAATATATATATATATATATATATTATATAAATATAAAATTTTTAAAATTTAAAATATATATATATATGAAAACCCCAGTGAAAGAAAAAAGAAATTCCCCAAGCGCTTTCACATGGTTTTTTGAATTCTAAATCAACCTGTTTTACTGTGATCTATTGCAATATATATTTTTTTTATATATATATATATTATATATATATATTATATATTTTAAAATATATATAATATATTATTATAAAAATATATTTTTTAAAATATATATAATAAATTTAATATATATATATATAAAAAATATATATATATAAAAATATATATATATATTATAAAATTTATATATTTAATATATATATTATATATAATATATAAAATTAAAAATTTATATTATATATAAATATATAAATATAAATATATTGTATAATTATTTTTATAAAAAATAAAAAAAATTTATATTATTATAATATATATATTAATCAAAATTAATGAGCAAGTCTCATGTCAGGCAAAAACCTTAAAACCCAAAAATTTCAAAAAAGCCAAAATTTATTTTCTGCAAATTGTATAATAAAAAAATAAAATATAATAATAATAATAATAAAAATAATAATAAAAAAATAAAATAATAATAATAATTTAATAAAAAAACCCCAAATGGGGTCTTGCAAATTACGGGAACATTTTTTTCCAGCGCTGTGTCAGGAGGTAGCGAGAGTATCATACCATTTTACCCTTCATCATGTGAGGTTCCACACCTCCCCAACGACACAATCTTGAAAACCTTCCCACTACTGCAACACCCCAGGCACGTTTCACTTTTCAACAGCACTCAAGACATGCAAAACCTCTCGTTGTCCCCACAAAAAAATCTCACTTCGAAATTTGGGTTCAACCCCCCCCAAGAATTGACCAAATTTCAAGTTGCACACATTTAATAACGTCCAAAAATTTTTCTAGCCAAACTTAAACGTTTTAACCCCCCACGAAAACACGCACACACTACCCTATAACCCTTTTTTGAACGTTTGAGAGTTCATGTGTGTGAAAACTCTTGGAGTTTTAATTATCCCCCCGGGCCAACTTGGTACTTAACACACGCAAAACGATTCAAGACCACGCTCAACGGTTTTTACATTTTTTTTTTTAATTTTTAAATCTCCATTGGTACTGTGTGGAAGCTTTAATAGGGCCTGTAATTAAACTCATTTTTAAATAATAACTTTGTTTTTAATTATTTTCATCACATATAATTTTAAAACTTTATTTTCTCGTTAATTTTTCCCCATTGATAAAAAAAATTTTGATATACACAAACGCGGAGTTACCAATCAAAAATTTGTACACACACATTTTTCTGCTCTACCTTGTGGTGAAAAAAAAAAAAAAAAAGAAATAGTCCCACAGCAACGATACAAGCCCGGTGATAGGTTGCACGTGTCCTGGCGAGTGGGGGGAGAGCGCAGAAACATACTCCCCACGGACCGCTGGTGGGAGATGACTGTGGCTAAGTTCACAGGGCTAGTCACTGTCTGGGAGGAAGGTGCTGTGTGCTGTGCGGCCCTGCGCTCTGCTGTGCGCTGCGCTGTGCTGTGCTGTGCGTTTTTGCTGCTGCGCGCGCTGTGTGCTCTGTGCTGCCGCGGCTCCCCTGTCGCCCTGCGCTGCTGTTCCTCCCCTGTTTTGTTCCTGCGCTGCTGCTGCGCTGCTCCTGCTGCTTTTGCGCTGCTGCTTTTTCCTGTGTGCTGCTGCGGCTGCTGCTCCCTGCTGCTGTGCTGCTGCTGTGCCCCTGCTGGCCCCGCTGCGCCCCCTTCTTGGCCCCCCTTGCGCTGTGTTCCCTGCGCTGTGTTTTCCTGCTGCTGCTGCTGTTTGCTGCTCCGGGCTCCCGCTGCTGCCTGTTCCTGCTGCTGCTGTGCTTGCTGCTGTTTCTGTGCTGCTGCGCTGCTGCTGCTGTTTTGCTGCGTGCTTTTCCCTGCTGCTGCTGCTGTTCCCGCGCTGCTGTTTTTCCCTGTGGCTGCTTTTTTTCCTGCTGCCTGTGTTTTTCCGCTGTTTTAAATCCTGAGAATAACCAGGAGTGTAATCAATACCGGAAAAGCTAGATCAGCTCCCTCAAGGGGCCCGAACGCAACTAATTCATTACTGGAAAGCATATATACAAAAACACGGAAATCAATACAATCCCAAAGTCCCTTGAAAGCTCTCGGATATCTTAGGGACACTGTAATGGAAATACAAAATGCTGGGTAATTATATACTTTAAGGCGCTAAAACCCAAAAGGTGCATTTATATATTGTTTCTTAAACAAATTTTTCTTTATTAAAAAAGGGAAAAAAAAATTTTCTAAATTTTAAGTCTGTATTTTTTAAATTTACCCTATGTATACCCCGGGTATCAAACAAAATCCAAAGGGTTGGGAGCAATCCCCTTTGATCCAAGGAAGGGGGGGATAGCTCTATTTCCTTTGCCTTTATCAATTTCCCAGTTTTATAGAAAAAAGATTAACAAGTCTTGCATTATTATTTTTATTATTACTACTAAAGGTCGGATGCAGTGCCCTCCCTTAAGTGACATGTCTGACCCACTGGTCAAGGCATTGGGTTAAGCCCGGGGAGAAAGGGGCTGCCCGCATGGCCAGAGGGTTTCGGTTTTTCCTTTTCTCTTAGTTCTTATTTCTTTTTTTTATTATTTTATATTTATGAAGAAGAATAAAACCCTACAGGGGATTATTAAAGGGGAAAGAACATAAAAAAAAGGGCAGAGAAACTTCCTTTACCGAGAGTGAAACGTGTTAATTTATTTTTCTTAACATCGTCATTTAATCATATGTAAGAAAGAGGAGAACTTTACCCCAAGTTTTTTTCATGACTGAAATCATTATACCTGGTGGATAAAGTCCCGTTTGGACAAAACGTCACAATGAAGGTTTCACACAAAAATTGATGTCTTTCTCAATGCAATTCCTCTATAAATAACAAAAAAGGCACAATACCCTGACTGGAACGTACCAAATAACCCCCATAGAAAGAAGGGCCTTTCGACGACGTTTCGGCCGATTTGGACCTATTTTTTAGTATTTTACTGGGTCCCCCTCCTTATACCTTTCCCCACTCACCCTTTACCTACTACTGCTGCTACAAATACTATAGTTCCCCCTCCTGCCTATATAACCCCCCCTCTCCTTTCGTTTGTGTGACTTTGAAATGGCCAAATCGGGCAATGTTCTCGAAAACTCCTCTCTTCGTATGCGGGTTATTGTGTAACAACTCATTAGTGGTTTTTTTTTATAATACGATTGAAAAAATATCCCAAATTTAATAGTGCGCGGAAAGGCCTTCATAGTATATGCGTTAAATTTTGGATATGCTTTTTTAAACCACACATAAAAAAAAAACATTATTAGAGGGGCGCGGAAGACAGCTACTCTTAAAATAGTCACCCAAAAAAGGGTTTTGTACAAAGGGTCCAAAATACCCAGAAACAACTAAAAATCTCCCAAATTTTTTTAAGAAAACGCGTATTTTTTCCCACAGGACGAGACTTAGGAAAGCTTCTGGAGGAGTTAAAAGGGTTGTTTGCCCCGGGTGGACTGTACTGGGGCGCGGTTGTCACAAACTGTATGCCCCCACAAAATTTTCTGACACAAATCTGGGTTTTTTTTTCGAGCCGAGAAGCCTCTTCGTCGGAAATCTTCTTCAGCTGGTTCTCAAGAAAAATTTTTTCTTTAAAAATAGCCCCTCCATAAAGATAAAAAGTCTTAAACTGTGATAAATAGATCAGAAAAAAAATGACAAGGGTAGTTGTACAGAAAAGCACAAAAAAACAGTTCTGAAAAATTAAAATTTTCGACTAATATAAGAAGGTGAAAAGGTTCACATTGAAAGATCGTGCATGTCGAGACTGCTTGTGATTTTTCCACTCAAGGATGAGTGACACTGCCAGACTGTCTTGTGGTTTCCACTCACAGGATGAGTGACATGTCCAGTACGTCTTGTGGTATGTCCATCACAGGAGAGTGAAAATGTCCATACTGACTTGTGGTATGTCCACCCAGGATGATGACACATCCGTGTTTGTGGGATGTCCATTCACAGGAGAGTGACCTGTCCCGTGTTGTCTTGTGGTATGTCCCTTCACAGGGTGAGTGACACTATCCAGGTTGTTTGTGGTTGTCCACTCACAGGATGAGTGACAGTCCCGTCTGCTTTTGGGGTTTTTTTCACAGGGGGATGACACTATATAGTGTTTTTCTTGTGGGATGCCCACTCACAGGAAAAATTTACACTATCCGTGTTGTCTTGGGTATGTCCCTACAGGAGAGTGACACTATCCAGTGTTGTCTTTTGGATGTTTTCCACTACGGATGAGTGACCTATCCCGTGTTGTCTTGGGATGTCCACCACAGGATATGCACTATCCAGTTTGTCTTGTGGGATTCCATCCAGGTGAGAGCACTGTCCGTGTTTTCTTGTGGGAGCCCCCCCCACAGATGAAGACACTGTCCAGTACTGTATTTATGATGAAGTTTTTTTCCACAGGGGAAGACGCTTTATAATAGTCTTCATAGTGGTGTTTCTACTACAAAATGATCGACACTCCAAAATAAATTCTTCCCTCGGGAAAAACGGAAAATTTAAATCGACCCCGGCAAAGTCAAAAGGGCCTTTTATTAAGATTTTAAATTTCGTATACTGTAATTTTTTTTTCGTTTTTTGGGTTATTTTCCTTTTTGGGTTTTTAAATTCAAAAATTTGGTTTCCCGTGTGTTGCCTCTGCTGCAAAACACCCCAATAATTGCTTTCAATGGCAACGCAAAATCTGACTGTTAAAACACTGAACTGAAGGTCCAGACGAGTTTACGACTCATATATAAAAGACAGTAATAATTAATGAATTAAATTTTATCTGCGTTTTTGCAGCGCTTGGACTTTTGGGTTTAGCGCTGGTTTTTTATTTAAAAATATCTCGTTTTTACGGTTTCCAAAATCAAAATAAAAGAAATTTAAAATTATTGATATTATACACAATTTTTTCTTTTAAAAAAATAAAAAAAAAAAAAAAAAAAAAATTTAAAACCTTCAAGAAAAAAACGCTTTTTCCTGAAAAAGAATTTAATTGGGGGAAAATTTTTTTAAACCTCAATGTGGGAAAAGTTTTTTAAAATTTGTTTTCCTTTGTTATTGTTTAAAATAAAATGAGGGAAGTCCCCTTGATGTTTGGGGACCTCTTTTTTAAAAAAGGGTTTTTTTCCTTTTAAAAGAATGTTCTTCCCCCCCGGAGTTTGGGAATGCCTTTTATTCTGTCACTATAATTTAAAATTAAATTTTTTTTCAATTACTTTAAAAAAACTATTCTCATTTCCCCCATTTATACCCCTTAACATCTACTCTATTTAACTATTAATTAACTACTACATTTTAAATACTAAAACTACTATATTTCTATAAAACTACTATTTCTACTCATATATACCCAAATACATTAAATACTACTTTTTACTATCTATACTACTACTACTACTACTTACTACTACTACTACTACTACTACTACTACTACTACTACTACTACTATTACTACTACTACTACTACTACTACTACTACTTACTACTACTACTACTACTACTACTACTACTACAACTACTACTACTACTACTATACTACTTGTTACATAAAAGTATACTGATTTGTAGTAGGTTTAGTTGTTAGGAAACAGACAAGTGTTCTGTTA